ACGTTTCGATTGTGAGTTTTGTTCTTGTGCGCGACATTATGGCCTTCCCTGTATAGTAGCCTACAGTAAAATAAATACTTTCTCTATTAGTCTTTTGAAATTTGAAGTTTTGCCTGATACATGTTTTCATGTGTGTCAAGAGCATCATATTTGCCTATCGTGAAATATCAGACTAATAGTACTAGCCGTAATAATCTGCATGAATTTTCATTGCCATTATATTAAAATTGCATTGTGTCGTGTCTTCTCACCTAAAATATATATCAAAATATTCGTCATATATTCATCACAAAATTCGTCTTCAGGTGGTGGGGTGCTGGGGGTTATGCTCCAAGATTTTCAGTATATTTAGTGGGATTTTGGGCATTCGCATTGGGACATAATCCTAATGACATCCAAATGCACCAACCCAGATAAATCAAGATACTGTTGGATATCAGTGGCTGTTTTTATCGGGCCTTGTTCAGAACAAAATACACGAGTAAGCGTCGTATACGTCATTATACAAAAAAAAAAATTGGCCCATCCTCCTCCCGAATTTTGGGCCGGCTACGGTCTTGAATGTGCCACGTCTGTTCTGTTAACTAAAACTGAAGCTTTCTCGCTGATTGTAACCAACCGAGTGAAAAAAAGAAAAGAGTTTTCATTTAACGTTGAATGGCAAATATTTTCTAACTAAAAGATTTCAATGAAAATGTTAGAATTCGGTTGTTCACAAATTTAACTTACGTATATAAGGTGCTACTTTGATATGCCATCTCTGCCGCTGTGTGATCTCAGTGATTTTAGTTCGGGTTAGAAATTTTATTCCAAAAGAATGTCTTTATGAGATTAAATGCACACCAAAGTCGCGCCACAATTGTTGCCACTTTGTTTAAGCATGTGAGATCGGATGCCAAAATAGCTCCCTCAACAGTATATTTATCGCTACCATTAAGTCAAAGTGAATCGCTTTTTGGTGAAGACAGTCATATGTTATTTTTAGGTTGCTTACAGTTGGGTTAATAGTTTCGAGGTAATTATAAAAAACTTTCGGCATTTAAATGAACGCACCTACGAAAAGGTAAACAAAATTATTCGAATATTTTAGATTAGTTAACTGCTGTATTACTCTGAATAGGTTGTAGTCTACATACCGAGCTAATTTTTAAATAGGGTTGATTGAGATAGCATGTGCCTGACTTTTGCCCTTTTCTCATTGCCTCTGTGATGTTACTGTTAGTGCATCCTTGTTCACTGAGTGCAAGAATACTAAGGCAAGAATCAAAACGGCCACATTGGGCGGTTTAATGTTCTTGCCTCACATTCAAGCAAATTTTATTGTACATACATACCATAACCTTTTTTATTACATTTTTTGTATGACCAAATTGAGACATTATCATGCCCTCGGTTTTCTTAAGTATACTCGTAGAGAAAACCCACTCTCTTGGATTTATTTGAAAAAATGTCGCTCATCGTGTTGAGACTACAGTTGGAGGATGGTTTGGAGATACCCCGTCAAACCGCTCTCAAGGATTTGATTTTAACGTCATAGTTCCAAACACGGTCCATAGACATTGACCTTAGATAATCATTTTGGTCAAGTAAGCGGGGCTAACTCACTGAACACCGTCAACTAGTTCTTGATGGCGTGGCATTACTGCTTTAGCATATGTCATTTCTGGCCCCAACGTCATCCCAAAATGATGTCAAAGTACACTGACTGTCGTCCAAAACGCGCAGACGATCACTCGGAATCAAGCAAGCAATTCTCTCGTTTCTTTTCGTAACGATCCCGATGAATATGAGAGAGATCGCTGGCGTTAGCGAGTTCGCTACCGGCGGCAGATATGCCATATCGGGCGATCGTAGCTTATTATTGGCAACCTCTCTTGCGTGATTGTGATGCCGTTACCTTTGGATGACGTAGTCAAGTGTGGGCTAGGAATAACATATGCAAAAATGTTTGTTCAACGCCAACTAGAAGTACTTACGACGTTTAGTGAACATGAGTCAAGTACGCTAATATGACTTTAATGAGGTTAATTGACAAGTTCCGTAAGACTTTTTGCCTCAATATCAAATATCGCAAGTAGAAAATCGTGCTATAACGTCTGAATATTTTGACGAACTTATGTTATTTTCAAGTTGATGTCGTTGAAAATATTAGTTGGCAACGATTCTCGTTCTCATAATTATTAAATTTATATTTTTTTCGCAATATTTAAAACTTCACAAACCTCCACTAATCTAATCGCTTCATTATAATGAGGCACCTACAATAATGTGTACGGCACATAACAATATTCGTTGTGCTGTATTACATATCATCTTATACTATTAAAAATGAATACTGTGAACACCCATTAAACCAGCCTCTGATAATAATAATATTCATTGAATAAAGCAGCACGGTTACCGTGGTGGGATTTTGTACGCGAAATATAATCCTGTAGACGTAGAGTGTAAACTATATGATAATGCTTCCGCAAAGATATCTATCTATACCTGATATACTGGGAATTCATTTCAACTGTTTTTTAATGTAAATAAATCATTATCTCTTACGTCCGCTTTAGCGTGATATCATAATGTACAGATTATTTCGGCATCTGACGGTAGTTAAAATTTATATAAAATGTATATAGTAACTGAACACAATTAGTTGAACGGAAAAGATGACTTTAACAGATTAGTTTAACGGAAGCGAATCGTACATTGCTATATATCGGAACAATGTCAGGGGAGAGGAAATATGGCTTTCAAACTCTTTCATATTTCGCCATATGCTAGGTGAAAGCCAAACTATTCGAGCAAAGATGCTCAAACAATGGCTGGTCGTATCAAATGCTTTTGCCCCATGCACTCCATAGATCATAACATTATTAAAACATTGTTCAAGATTGTCTTACAACAGCTAGATCGTATAATCAGTATTGAGAAGGTCTAGAGCAGTTCTCCTCAAACGGATGTATATACAACCGGCTCGGGTTCCAAATAGCGACTGTCAGAACAGCGACAGTCATAATGGCGACTCCATAACAGCGACGTAATCAAGTGAACGCATTAAAACAGCGACTGTTATGATAGCGTTAGGGTTAGAGTTAGTCCAAAAAAGGTTGTTTTAAAGTCCCTTTTGGTTTCAATTTTTCACTACGCAGTATTTGCCTGTTTGTGCGTGCATACGTGTGTAGAGGAAGCCCCTAACCCTAACACGAGTTAAGTCGCTATAATACCAGTTGCTGCAATATGACAGTCGCTATCCGGCCTGGATACCATACAACCATGGGTACCAACGATTTAAAGGGTATATCACATCGATAGAGTGTCCAAGGGTGTACCACATAAAAAAAAGATTTGGTACACTAACTTATGGACCTTTCCCCGAGCATCGACTTCCTTGTTTACTCCGTGACATTGGCCAATCAGCAAGATGCAAAAAGTGACGTAACAATGTTCCTTTTTCGCATCCGATCAGACACTTTTCTCATTCGAACAGATTTTCAAGCGTGGTCGTTGAAACTCGTTAACTCGTTTTCGCTTTTTTGAACTCTATTCGTTAGTTTTATGTTGTGTTTCGGAAACCTTAATATAAATCAGATAATTCAATGATCACTCTGTCTTCCTAGGAGTTTTAATTCAATTACAGTAATAAATAATTTGTGTAGAAATAGCGGTGATGGACTAGGCTAAAACAATTTACCTGTACTTTTAACAAACAGATGGTTGTATGCGATTAATCATAATGATGATTTGAAACACATACGCCATTTTACAGGCGCCACTCGCAAAAGCAATCTTGAAATAGTTCCGAAAATTTTGCAATGGTAAAGTATGGGAGGGATTTTTCGGGGGTCAAAGGTCGGGGAAAAGTCCATTTTATTGCAATGTGTCACAAATCTTCGTCGCCCCAGCGTTACCCAAGATGTGGTTGTATGATTGTCATAATAGAACTAGGTTATTTTGAACCCATCTCACACTAAAAAAGAAGTGCAAACATTTTTACGCAAAATGTTATCACGGGTGATTGTACATAGCTATAGAGATCACACAATCGATCGATGATGAAAAAACTTGCTTTAACAGCATTGGCAATGATCGTTGTACTGGTGTTCTTAATAGGTTAGTAATTCCCAGATGCGTACTATCTGAAAGTTACTACATAAAAATTACTTCCACAGTTAGACAAGTGAATACAACAACAAACGCAACAATTGCAGGAGATTTTTTCAAAGATCAATAAGTATTGCCACTTATGACCTGATGCCTGAAGCTATTGACAAGGCTGAAATAGAAGCATAAATATCCTGTTCCACATTCGAAAAAAAAACGAGATGAAAAGGCTACGCATAACTCAAGAGGCTACATAATTTGATTAAATGTATTCGATTCTAAATCGATATCAATTCTGAAACAGAAAAGGGTTATGCACAGGGGCGTGTCAAACTGTTCTGCTGCATGGGGCGAGTTTCTGATATCGATGCTCCTTAAACCTAACTTCTAAAATAATTTGGCTTATAAACATATTATAGATGTTTTTATGCAAGAGAATTAATAAATTAAAGGTCACATAACAATGAAATGTTTGTTTCGTTTAAGTTCAAATCACCAAACTAAGCAAAAACATCCCTCCTTTTACCTGCTGCCCTGGTTATGGGATATTCCATATTAATATCAAAACTGAAACATCAGCACCAGCAAGTATTATTTAAATCAGGCGATAAATAGGTCTTAATGAGATTGCAAGAATAACCGCAATACTGCACACTTTGAAGACCTAATTTGATTAAATATCACAATGCTGCAGTTTTCAACGCGGAACAATACACGTGATGAATAAAGTAAATAGCCTGCTGACCTAGAGGTAAGTTTTCGCGTGTTTGTGTTTATTAGCGACATATTAATTTCATTCTGCTGCTATTACAGCCGTGACATAACTGCCTACTAAAACTCATTTAACCGCAACGTCAACAACGCAATGCGTTGTATATAAAAGCAATTATTCTGGGCCGTTTGGTATTTTATTCCTGTGAATTTCATCAGAAGGACATGATGTGGACGGGCAATACAAAGTCATTTTTCTTGGTGACTTTAATCATTCTCCAATACTTCGCTTGTGAGTCTCAAGCAAGTATTAGTCTCGGAACTTGTCATCTTTTGTGTAATGAGGAAGAAGCTTGTAAGGAAGGGCCTCCTGGACCACCTGGCGAGCGCGGCCCAGAAGGACCTCGCGGAATGATGGGACCAGCAGGGCCACCTAGTACTTGCTGCGAAGATTTAGTTGAGCGATACGAACAGCTTGAACACCAAGTTCAAGAGTTGGATGGTAAGTTATCAAATGTTGCGATGCATTGGGAAACTTTACTTTTTCTGTTATAATCTCTCGTTTAATATTAGTTTGGCGAGTTCATTATTTCAACGAAAAAGCAAGTTGCTTGCATTACATTTGTACTTGTTGCTTGTACATTCGGGCAATTGTTATTTGGGTTGGAAAAAGCGAAATAGTTATAATTTTTTGGGCAATTCGATACGATACAAAGAACAATACTTTGACTTGGGAAATTTATATAAACTCGTAACATGGCTCGATACCATGTAAAAATAATTTTCCAAACAATTCCTAATTTTTTAAATTATTAAAACAGGCATGGAACATATTATAACTGACATTACTTTCTCTAGAATGGATGTTTGCACGTGACTGTGCAGCGGTAAAAACTCACGTGATATCAAGTGGAACTTACGTGATTCATCCGTTCAATGAAAGTAAACAAGGAGTTCAAGTGTATTGTGATCAAGTAACCGATGGTGGTGGATGGATTGTGAGTAGAGTTTTGATAACCCTCATGTACCCTTGTACCACCATATGGCGGTGCGGAGTTGGGCAATCTTTATGCCTATAATCATCCACAGGATTCAAACCTGCGAACCCGCAGTGTAATCAGAGGTGCGATGGAAAGCGTTGTCTTAACAGGCCGCCTTAGATTTTAAACCAATGCGTCGCGCAAAAATATTAACCATAATATATCATTGCATATGCTCGTTTTATGACACAAAGGGAAAGAATACAGACATCTAAGTCGAACAGTTGTCCCTAAAATTTGACGATCTCAACTCATTTTGAATTTACCTGTCACATTCATTTTTAGGTAATACAAAGAAGACTTGACGGAACTGAAGATTTTTATCGTGACTGGAATGACTATGTCACCGGTTTCGGCTACATAGAACGAGAATTCTGGCTAGGTATACTTTAAATTATGAACATAATTTTGCGTTGGTTATTTAAAATATAATAAAATTTATATAATTTCATACTTATGATGGCGTCGATGATCACAAGGCAATGTGTTTTTCTCGTTTTGTCTCAAATTTTCTATTTATAAGGATTCGGTATTCCGACTATCATATATATACAGGGTGGATCTGAAGTATATTAAGATTAATGTTAAATTAATTTCACAAAACTGGCACTCTACTTCTGGTCCACCCAAAATACCATCAAAATATACCAGATTCTAAACAATTTTATTCCTTCAAATTATGACCTCGGCTTGTGACTCGGGTATGCAGTGACTTGATTCGATACCGTTCTCGAGCGTTAAAAACTTTCGTTGTTCAAGGTTTAAGTTCAGAAACGCGGGCTAACCAATAGCTAACTGGCTCGTCTAACTGTGTCTATGACGTAAAATATTGACTAGAAATGACTCAATGTTGGAAAACACATGATTCAAGGTTTTAGAAACGTTGGCCTAACACTATTGATATCTTCATAATTCACAGGACTGGAAACGATGCATAGAATATCTATCAATGGTCCTCATGAGATTCGATTCGATTTTATCACAAGAGACAACGAAAAATTATTTGCAAAATACGGGTAATGGAAGTTGTTTTTACGCACTGCCAAGTATTTTGTATACCTTATTTAGTTTTTGGTAAACTGAAAGAGCGTAAAAAGACTTACAAAACGGTCGACTATTCAGTGAACTACCATTTTAAGTTTGCTTATAGTATTGCGTGTGAATATACAGAGTGTATTTAAAGTCCCTTCACAGTATTATAAATTTTATGAAGTCAGTTCTCAATATATTTACACCAGGTTTGTTGTAATTTAATCAGTAATTGTTTGAGTATATTTACTTCATTTAATACATCTGTGAGGGCCAGAACAATATATCAATAAATTCCCTTTGCAATTTTGGAAAAATTCCAAGACTTCATGATCGCCCCGTATTATTAGATTCTAGGCGGCTACATAAAAGTAACAAAAGTAATTGTTTGTTTGAAGCATTTGATTTTTTAGAGATTTCTCCACATTTTCGTTTGTTGATCGTCATCGTTTCTTGCAAATTTGTTTTAAGTAGAGTCATCCTAAAATAACCTAAAATATCATATAATTTTTAGACAATTTCAAATTGCTGGAGCAGAGGACAATTATCGAATAACGATTACCGGATATTCAGGAAATGCAGGTATACTCAAAATAATTTTTATGATCTACAATTGACAATAACGCTGTTTTTCGATTTATATAGCAATGGTTACCAACCGGAGGTCCCAGTGGGGCATAGCAGTAAGAGGGCGCCACAGTGCTAGGCGTGAAACTGATCTTACTTATGCCTTGGCAAGTAAGCTTCCATCAAGCTAAGCATGATTTTAATTGCCTAATCTTCATCTCTCATCATAAAGATAGGATTTGATCGAGTAACATGTATCGCACTACACTTATTCTTGAGTCATTTAATTTATCATGTTGTTTCTATTAACAGGCGATTCAATGGCGCACCATAACAATAACCAATTTACGACGAAGGATCAAGAAAACGACCAGGACCCAGGAAAAAATTGCGCTGAATCGTACATAGGGGGTTGGTGGTACAACTATTGTCACCACGCTAACTTGAATGGTTTATACACAGGTACATCGACCGAGGGTTTATCCTGGTTTAAGTGGAAAAATACATACACTCCATTTGCCAAATTTGTGGAAATTAAGATCAGGAAATCAGCCGTGCCAGATCTTTAATAGTATAGAAGTGAAATAGTTTATAACATCTACGTACAATACAAGGGTGGCATAAAGTCGCACATCAAGGTAAATCTCAAAGATACAAAACCCCTGAAATTATTCGATCCTGAGACACAGTCTTCTCTGATTCATCATGATAACAATCTAAAATTAGAATGAGTCGCCCATTGACGTACACGTTTTGACGTAGATTGTGAGTTTAACTCTGATGCGCGACTTTATGGCCACCCCTGTATTGTAACGTACAGTCAAATAAATACTTTCTCATTAGTCCATTGAAATTTCAAGTTTTGCCTGATACATGTTTTTATGTGTGTCAAGATTATCATGTTTGCCTATCGTGAAATATCAGACTAATAGTACTTGCCGTAATAATCTATCTTGCCGTAATAATAATCTTTAAAATTGCATTGTGTCGTGTCTTTTCACCTAAAATATATATCAACTTTGATCACATTATTTTTTTTTCAATAATGGAGGACGAATAGATGAGATTCACATCAATGTTGCTCTCAAGCGTAGCCAGGTGGTGGGGTGCTGGGGTTATGCTCACGAATTTTCAGTATTTTCAGTGGGATTTTGGGCATTTGCCAATGGGACATAATCATAATGACATCCTAATGAACAAACCCAGGTAAATTTTTAAGATATTGATGGATATCAGAGGCTGCTATTATCTGGCCTTGTTCAGAGTTAAAGACACGAGTAAGCGTCGTATTACGTCATTATACAATCAAGCCTAAATACTTAGAAGATATTCAAGCTTAATTGAGTGGCTTTTTATTGTGGGTTTCTCCAAACACACAAATTATCGAAAACAAAGAATTCATCACTCAGTCAGTTCGCTGAGTTGCCACACACAATAAAAAAAATAAATTACTAAGAAAGAAGAAGTCGCATATCATAATTGCATCTTAAAGAAAAGCAGGATTTCACAAAGAAATTGAGGAATTCACTTCGAAACAAGATGGCTGATAATCAATGACGAATAAATAAAATCGGAGCAATACCACCGGAGATTCACAAATTGACATCAAAATATGCGTTTGATACATAGTGATCCCCAAGGACCTCTAGACATTTACCGGTATTTAGAATTTACCCTCGAAACTATAGGCAAGAAAATACCACGTCAGTAATATGTATATGAGGGCAAATGTTTCGCATCCAGCTTGTAATCCCAACGTAGTTACATTGACGTGCGAAATGTAATTTGAAAATAAATTAAAGTTTTAATTAAGTCGTGCGGTATACAAGACTTTATAAGATTGCAAGAATAATCGAAAGGCTGCACCGGTCAAAGGCCTCATTTGATTATTCATATTTATGATGTACTTTAACAAGTAATAAATACTATGTTAGATACATACGAGACATGGTTTGCTGATTTAATATTCCCCAGAGATAGATTGCGCATGTATTTGAAAATTAGCGGCAATGTTGTTCTAAAATCACAACAGCCGTGGCAACGACTTTATCTAAACATAACAACAGCTGCCTACTAAAATTCACATGTCCCACCACAGTGCGTAGTGTATAAAAGCAATTATTTTGGGCCGATCGACATTTTATTGCTCAGAATTGAGCCAGACGAAGATAATGAGGACGGGCAAAATTAATTCATTTTTCTTGGTGTCATTAATTCTTCTCCAATACTTTGTTTGTGAGTCTCAAGCAAATATTAGTCTCGGAACTTGTCAGCTTTCATGTGATGAGAACGAAAACCAGCTCCCTTCTCGCGTAAGAGGTCCACCTGGACCACCGGGAAAGCGCGGCCCAGTAGGAAATCGCGGATTAGTTGGACCGAAAGGGTCACCAAGTAGTTGCTGCGAAGATCTAGTTGAACGAAACGAACAGCTTGAACGTCAAGTTCAGGAGTTAAATGGTAAGTAAACAAAATGTCACAATGCAAGCATTGGAAAGCGTCGTGTCTTGATTTCCTTGTTATAGTTTCTTAATATCAGTTTTGTATATATAGTGCATTGAAATTTTTTAAAGGGGGGAAACTTTCTATAAATTTTTATTTTAAATGTGCTCAGAGCTCTTGTTCAGCTAATTTTTAAACAAAAAAATCAAAGTACGTGCCCCCCCCCCAAAATGGAAGCTTCTCAAATCATTTAAAAAGCTCACATCATCTTATGATAAACATAAGACGTCTTTAAAGGTAGAAACATTCGAACTCCGCAAATGGAGGTTGAAGAAAATCCAAAACTGACGCAATGACTGAATTTATTTCGATACGGTCTCTTACTGATTATTAGTTTGGCATAGCGCATTGTTTGGACAAAATATTACAAGTAGCTAACTCGAATTGCAACTGTACAGCATGGAATGGAACTTAATATAAGTGACAGTGAAGCTTTTTCTAGAACGGACATTCCCACGGGACTGTGCAGCCGTAAAGAATCACGTGATATCAAGTGGAACTTACATGATTTATCCGTTCAATGAAAGTAAACAAGGAGTCCAAGTGTATTGTGATCAAGAAACCGATGGAGGCGGTTGGATTGTGAGTAATGTCTTCGCAAAACTTTTTGTCTATGTTTAACAATACGTAGACCAACAGCATGAGGCCCAAACAGAAATCATTACAAACCCACTTTTCATCTATATTAAATACCTCAATTCCATGTAACCTGTATTAAAGTCAATGTGACATTTATTCTATAACTTATTTCATTTAGTTTGTTCCTTGATACACGTGTTCAATATGTGACCATTTTAAGTCACCATCTCATTATTATTTGCCGCCCAATAGAATTGATCTCTGTCTAATGAGATAGGCTGGAGTTATAGTTGAAGGCCGTTATTTACATTTACATCGATGTGAATGACGCCCTTCAACCTGATAAGCTTCGAATAGGACAAATACTTTTTGATAAAGATGACCAGCCTGTAGATTATGTAGCTGGCTGTATTCCTAAATTCCTTCGTCTAAGAAGTGGTTCTTAAACTTACTGGTATTGCGACGCCCTCTAAAAAATATGGTCAAGCTGCGACTCCCCGTGAAAAATATCTGGATACCTTTCAATAAGAGACTTTTTTTACAATGAGTTTTATTTAAATTATGCCTGAAGAGAACTGATGTGGTGTCAATAATAAATATCTGTTTAGATTAACGCGCAGACGAAGTGCTGAACAGCGCTTGATGTTCCCATGTTCATGAAAGAATTAGAAATGAACGGCATGCATGACTCGATCTGATCCAGCCTGTGCGATGTCATAATTGGAACAGTATTGAATGATCCGTGATTTTTGTCAAGTCACACATAGATAAGATCGATCGTTACAACAATTAATATATTGTCATTTCCAGTTCTCAAGTATGATTTAAACGAGAACAACGAAAATTTTGACTTTTTCTACGCACCGCAGGTACAAATCCGCAAAAGAAGAAAAGTTTTGCGACGCCCTATCAATATTGAAACGACGCACTTGGGCGTCGCGACGCCCAGTTTGAGAACCACGGGTTTAAAAGATTGCCACTGGCTTGCAATGTGTTAATCTTATTTCAAAATGATCAATCCTGTTCGTTTATTAAGTGAAGAAAGATAATACGGTAATGCAAACTGATGAATGAGCTACCATAGTGACGTTTAATACAGTATTGTGCAGTCAATAAACTGCAGCTTAATCATATGGCGTACCACGGACTCTCGTCGGGTTACCAGTTATTTTGTTTCAGATGCATGAACTTTATGGACTAGCAGTTACGTGAACCACCCTATGGCGATGAGGAGTCTAGAAATCCTTATGGCACAGAGGAAAAGATAACAAGTATCTGAGTAGAATGGTTGTCACTAAAATTTCGACGATTACAAAACAAAGTTAATTTTTCCTGTCACATTCAATTTTAGGTAATACAAAGAAGACTTGACGGAACTGAAGATTTTTACCGTAACTGGAATGACTATGTCTCAGGTTTCGGTTACAAAGAACGAGAATTCTGGCTAGGTATACTTGAAATTAAAAAACCATTTGAATTCTTAGTTGTTAGCTCTAATTAGTAATTCATTCAAAACATAAAGGCATTTTTATATTTATATCACAACGTTTTCTGCGCATCATGGCGTTGATATTGACATGGGAATATAATTTTTTCGTAGCGTCTCGAAGATTATGGTGATAAAGATTAGATAATCTGACTAGCATATATATAATGGCCCTGCATAAGAAGCCGCTCAACATGACTTGTGACTTGTGAATAAAGTGACTCGACTCGGCTCCGTTCTCGAGCGTTACAAACTTGCCGGCTCCGGAATAAAAACAATCCTTTATTCAAGGATTAAGTTCAGAAATGTGGGCTAAACACTAACAATCGATATCTTTATAATTCACAGGACTCGAGACAATGCATAGAATATCCACCAATGGTCTTCATGAGATTCGATTCGACTTTATCACAAGAGACAACGAAAAATTATTCGCAAAATATGGGTAATTGAAGTTTTCTTTATTCATTGCCAAATAATTTGTATACTTTATTTAGTGTTTGATAAAATGAAAGTGCGTAAAAAGGCAAACAAAGCTGCCGTTTTTTAAGTAAACCACCATTTCAAGAGTGTCAATAGTTTTAAATATACTGTAAGTTGAGATTTCAGGCTGCAATGTTAAAGTCACAAGAGAAATATGTTGTAGCATTTGGTATTTCCGTGATTTCTCCACATTTTCTCGTTCATTGACTGTGATCGTTTTTTTCAAATATACTTAGATTAAACTCATCTTAAGCAATATTACAGAAAGAAAAATACTCTATAACAGGATTTTATAAAAAGTAATGCGAAATTAACCGAAGTTAAGATGAAATGCTACTTAAAACATTTAACGACTGACACCTTTTAACAGTATTGAATTACAGTAAAATGTCATTCAAACATTTCACGACTGACATTTTTTAACAGTTACTTTTTTCAACGTTGCCATAACGAAAAAGTTACCGTAATTCTGCCTAACTTTTTTAACACCCTGCATATTGAATTTACCGAAAATTTTAATTCTTAGACAATTTCAAATTGCTGGAGCAGAAGACAATTTTCGAATAACAATTACCGGATATTCGGGAAATGCAGGTATGCTCAAAATAATTATTATAATTAACAATAGACCAGCGTTTCCCAACCTTTTTTGATTGCAAACTATTTTCTCACCAGAAACAATCGTTGCGGACTCAAGGTGCGTTAATTGTATCCGAACTGTGTGTGAAGAATCACTAAAACCAAACATAACATGATTTTAACGAAGTCAGTTTATTCCCGACGTGTCCCACGATTTTGAGCTACTATTGACATTAACCAGAAAAAATATGCCTTGCCGTGAAACGCGCGAGAATCACCACTTAGGTATCTATTGGAAGGTTTTATAGTCTCCTAACGGGCGTTTTTGCACGAGAGAAATAAATGGATTTCATTTTATCGTAGTCAGTCTTGAAATGAAAATTTTACCAAACGGCCCACCAAAAAGTTGTTGAGGCTCAGGCGACATTGGCGCGCAATATAATCATTTAAATATTGGAACAATTAAGCTACAGGAAACAAATAAATAAAAAAAATGCCGAGCATCGATTCGATTAAATTTGAACTTAACTGATGCTTAAGTTTGGTAAAAACGTTTGCGCCCCGCAATAAATTTCTGAATGTGAAAGTGACCGGCGACACCAAAAGATTTAGTGACCCACATTAACTATAATACCACCGCATAACGCTTCTAAAACGGTATTGCTCGTTGAGGACTCATTCGAACGCTCTGCGGACTTATTCGAGACCTCGGACTCGAGTTGGGAAACACTGCAATAGACAAGAACACTGTTTTATATATAAAATTTATATAGTATATGTATATAGTTAAAAACTTTAAATGTATATATATACTCGCTCCATCGATCTCTTAGAAAAATACAATTTAATAAAGTAACATGTATCCCACTGCGCTTAATCTTGGGTGATTGAATTTATCATGTTATTTCTATTAACAGGCGATTCAATGGCGCACCATAACAACAACCAATTTACAACGGAGGATCAAGAAAACGACAATGACCCAGGAAAAAATTGCGCTGTAGCATACAAAGGGGGTTGGTGGTACAACTGGTGCCATCATGCTAATTTGAATGGTTTATACGCAGACACGACATCGACCAAGGGTTTATCCTGGTGGAAGTGGAAAAATTCATACACTCCATTTGCCAAATTTGTAGAAATGAAGATCAGGAAACGCAGAGACTAAACAGCGTGGCACATTTTTAATAGTATAGATTAATATAGTTCATACCATCCATCTACGTACAGGGTGTCAATAAAGTTGCGCACCGAGGTAAATATCATAATCCCAAAGATACAAAACCTTGGAAATATTCGAACTTGATAAACAGTCTTCTCTGATTCATCATGATAACATATTAAAATTCGGCATACATCGGCGTCATTATGGATTGTGAGTTTTACCTTGGTTCGCAACGTTATAGCCGCCCTGTATTGTACAATCAAAGAATTTCCTGCTCTATTTAGATGTCAATTTGTGCCTAGATGTTTTTATGAGTGTCAAGAGTATCATGTTGCCAGACTAATAGTACTAACAGAAGGAGTTTGTATACATTTTCATTGTCAACATATTACGATTGCTTTGTTTTGAGTCTCACCTAAAATATATTAACTTTCATAACATAATTCGACTTTTCATTATGGACCAATAGGTAAGATTTATCAATGTTCCACGCCTGTTCTGTTGATTAAGACTGAAGCATACTCTCTAATTGTAACGAACGAAGTAAAAAAATGTAAACCGTTTTCATTTACTGTTGAAGCGCAATCTTTTAATGACTAAAAGATATCAATGGAAAGGGTTGGAACTCGGGCATTCCCAAATTTAAGTTACGTATATATATAGGGTGCTACTTTATCATGCGATCTCTGTTGTTGTGTGATCTCAGTGATTTTAGTTCGGGTTAGAAATCCCTGTTCTTAGAGAATGTCCTCATGAGATTAATTGCACACCAAAGTCGCGCCACAATTGTTGGCACTTTGTTTAAGCATGAGAGATCGGATGCAAAAATAGCATCCTCAACAGTATATTTATCGCTACCATTAAGTCAAAGTGAATCGCTTTTTGGTGAAGACAGTCATATGTTGATTTTAGCTTGCATACAGTTGGGTTAATAGTCTGGAGGTTATTATAAAAAACTTTGGGCATTTAAATGAACGCAGTGCAGCTACGAAAAGGTAAACAAAATTATTGGAATATTTTAGATTAGTTAACTGCTGTATTACTCTGAATAGGTTGTAGTCAACATACCGAGGTAATTTCTAAATATGGTTGATTGAGATACCATGTGCCTGACTACTGCCCTTTTCTCATTGCCTCTGTGTTGTTACTGTTAGTGCATCCTTGTTCACTGAGTGCAAGAATACTAAAGCAAGAATCAAAACGGCCACATTGGGCGGTTATATGTTCTTGCCTCACATTCAAGCAAATTTTATTGTATATACCATAATCTTTTTTATTACATTTTTTGTATGACCAAATTGAGACATTATCATGCCCTCGGTTTTTTTAAGTATACTCGTAGAGAAAACCCACTCTCTTGGATTTATTTGGAAAAATGACGCTGATCGTGTTGAGACTACAGTTGGAGGATGGTTTGGTGATACCCCGTCAAACCGCTCTCAAGGATTTGTTTATAACTTCATAGTTCCAAACACGGTCCATAGACATTGACCTTAGATAATTATTTTGGTCAAGTAAGCAGGGCTAGCTCCCTGAAAACCGTCAAGTACTTCTTGTTGGCGTGGCAGTACTGCTTTAGCATATGTTATTTCTAACCCCAACGTCATCCTAAAATGATGTCACTACAAAGTCAAAGTGACGAAATAAGGCCCGTCAAAGTATACTGACTGTCGTCTAAAACGCACAGACAATCACCCGGAATCAAGCAAGCTATTTCCCTCGTTTCTTGTCGTAATGATCCCGATATGAGAGAGATCGCTGGCGTTAGCGAGTTCGCTATCGGCGGCGGAGATGCCATAGTGGGCGATCATAGCTTTTCGTTGGCAAGCTCTCTTGCGTGATTGTGACGTCCTAGTGACTTAATTTTTGTTAGATGATGTAGTCAGGTGTGGGCTAGGAATAACATATGCAAAAATATTTGTGCCACGCCAACTAGAAGTACTTACGGCGTTTAGTGAACATGAGCCAAGTACGCTAATATGACTTTAATGAGGTTAATTGACAAGTTCCGTAAGACTTTTTGCCTCAATATCAAATATCGCAGGTAGAAAATCGTGCTATAACGTCTGAATATTTTATATTTTATGAACTTATGTTATTTTCAAGTTTCCAGTTTTTAAGTTGATGTCGTTGAAAATATTAGTTGGATAGGTCAAAGATTTTCGTTCTCATAATTATTAAATCTTTATTTTTCTCGCGATATTTTAAACCTCACAAACCTCCACTAATCTAATCGCTGCATAATAATGAGGCACCTACAATAATGTGTATGGCACATAACAATATTCGTTGTGCTGTATTACATATCATCTTTTACTATTAAAAATAAATACTGTGAACACCCATTAAACCAGCCTCTGATAATAATAATATTCATTGAATAAAGCAGCACGGTTACCGTGGTGAGATTTTGTAGACGAAATATAATCCTGTAGAGGGTAAACTATATGGCAACGCTTCCGCAAAGATATCTATACCTGATATCTAATATACTGAGAATTCATTTATTCTTTTGAACTGTATTTTAATGTAAATAAATCATTATCTCTTGCGTCCGCTTTAGCGTGACATCATAATGTACAGATTATTTCTGCATCTGACGTTAGTTAAACTATATATATAATATATATATAGTAACTGAACACAATTAGTTCAACGGAAGAGATGCCTTAACGGAATAGTTTAACGGAAGCGAATCGTACATTGCTATATACTTCACAATGTCAGGGAAAAGGAAATATGGCTTTCAAACTCTTTCATATTTCACCATATTCTAGGTAAAAGCAAAACTATTCGAGCAAAGATGCTCAAACAAAGATAATGACATTATTAAAATCTTGTACAAGATTGTCTTACAACAACTAGATCGTATATTACCAGCATTGAGATGACCTAGACCTTCTTCTCAAACGAGTGTATATACAACCCAGGGAAGGTTATATCACATCGATAGAATGCATGGGGCTGTAACACATGAAATAGATTCGGTACACTAACTTATTGCAATGTGTCACAAATAAACGTGTATGCGCATTTAAATAAGCACCTTGCTATATTTGTATTGCTTAGTCCCAGCGTTATAAAGATGTGGGTTGTATGATTGTCATAATAGAACTTGGTTAGTTAAACCCATCTTACGCTAAAAATGAACTGTCATAAGCAAACATTTTCACACAAAATGTGATCTCGGCAGATTGTACGTCGCTATTGAGTTCACAACATCGATCATGATGAAAAACTTTTAATTAGCATCATTGGCAATGGACGTTGTACTGGTATTTTTAATAAATTTGTACTTCCCAGATGCGCTAAAAGTTACCACATATAAATTACTTCCATAGTAGATAAAGTAAATACAACAATACTCTACATGCATGAGATTTCTTCTATTGGCAGTACGATCAAATAGAGATCAATAAGTATTGTCACTTGTGACCTGATGCTTGAAGCTATTGACAAGGCTGAAATAGAAGCATAAATACCCTGTTCCATATTTGGAAAAGTGGGAGATGCAAATGCTACGCATACCTGCAGCGGCAACACGATTTGATTTAATATAATCGATTCTAAATCGATATCAATTCTAAAATCGGTCTGTAGAAAAGGGTTATAAACAGGGGCTTGTCAAATTGTTCTGCTGTCCAGGTCGAATTTCTGATATTGATTCCCTTAAATCTAACTTTTATTTGTACAGGATAAACATATAATAGATGTTGTTATGCATGAGAATGAATAAATTAAACGTCAATTAAGAATGAAATGTTTGTATTATTCAAAACAGAAACATCAGCACCAGCAAGTTTTAAATAAATCGGGCAATATATAGGTCTTAATGAGATTGCAAGAATAACCGCAATACTGTATACCTTAAGAAAACCTAATTTGATTAAATATCGCTATGCTGCACTTTTTAACACGGTACAAGATCCTATGCTAAATACATGTGATGCATACGGTGAATAGCCTGCTGACTTAATATGACCTAAAGATAGGTTTTCGCGTGTATGTGTTTATTTGCGACCTATCAATTTCCTTCTGCTACCATTACAGCCGTGACATAACTGCCTACTAAAACTCATTTAACCGCAGAGGCATCAACACAGTGCGTTGTATGTAAAAGCAATTATTCTGGGCCGTTCGGTATTTTATTCCAGTGAATTTCATCAGAATGAAAGCCGTTCAAGAAAAGTAAACAAGGGGTTGAAGTGTAATGTGTAAAAAAACGATGGTGATGGATGGATTGTGAGTAGAGTTTTGATAACCCTCATGTAGCCTTGTACCATCATACGGCGGTGAGGAGTTGATCAATTTTTATGCATATAATCATCCTTCTACGAGATTCAAACATGCGAACCCACGCAGCGTAATCAGAGATGCAATGGAAAGCGTCGTTCTAACACTAAGCCTTAGACCAATGCGCCCCAACCGCGCAAAAATAATGTTCATATAATATATATTGCATAAATTATGCTCGTTTTATGACATATTAGGAAAGATTACATACATCTGAGTAGTATAGTTGTCCCTAAAATTTGACGATCGCAACTCATTTTTAATTTACCTGTCACATTCATTTTTAGGTAATACAAATGGCTTCCATAGACTGAATCAAATAGAATACATTCATATGTTTCTTTCAGTTTGTTAATGGTATAGTGGTTCGTAGATCCTTATGAAAACTTTGGGCATTTGAATGAAAGCAGCTACGGGCGGACAGAATAAACAAAATCTAGATTTGTTAACTTTATTTGTTATTGCTCTGCATAAGTTGTAGCCTACAAACTAACGTAATTTCAACATATGGTTGATTGAGGAGATAGCATGTGGCTGGCTGCAGCCCTTTGCTCGGTGTCTGTTAGTGCGTATATGTGCACTTGGTGCAAGAACATCAGAGCAAGAATAAAAACGGCTACATCAGGCGGTTCAACGTTCTCGCATCATACTCAAGCCAATTTCATTGTGTAACCCTTTGTACGACCGAATCGAAACATTATCAAACCCTCAGTTTTCTTACGGGAACCCGTCCGGACACCTATCAATCCTGGGATATTTCGTACAAGCCCCCGTCCCTAATGCAAAATTGTGACCGCCGCGTTTTAAAATAACAAATTATTAATTACCAAGTTGGGGTTCGCGTTTGGGTTAGAAATGATTTGAAAATTTGGACTCCAAGCGCAATCGGCATTACCAAACCCTAACTAGATGATAACTCGCTTTCCTATTTTCAGCGTAGGCGGGTGTTTTTTTACAGGGGCTTGATACTTATCGTAAGCAGCAACTTTGCACTAAAATAACAACCCAAAAACGAGGTCACATACTGGTCATATTATCGATGACCATAGCCGATCGACCGTTTCATTCTCTGAGTAAATATTTATCTCCAGTTATTTATTGTTATCCGCTAGTATAGTCTGTGCTCATGAACGTCTCGCCAATGTAACCAATATTTCCCAACCAGAAAAAATCCTCCCCAGGGAGGAATTAATTAAGATATTCTTGTGGACGAAATATGACTTTGCATTTGGTACAGTTGAGCAAATATTATTTACTCATTTTGAATTATTGTGTGGTATTTATGGATAATTTGTAAACTATTCGAACTGCACTAAAGCAAAATTGCGCGTTATACTAGAGTTAATTGATAAAGGATTTGAATAATAACAGAAACAGAGTTTCTATGCGTACTGAGGGGTAAACAAAATATGCAAAGAGAGAAATAAGTTTGGAAACCACTAGTTAAGATTTTAATATGGTATATGTGGTAATGTCGGTGACTCAGTGGCCAAATTGGATATAAAACAAACGGCATTGGCAGATTGGTGGTATACGCGTATCTGCTAGCTAAAGTTAAATCACTGTAGTTGAATAAGAGTTGGTCAGTCGTATATCAGCAGTATTGGGCGTACAAAATAGTTTTTTGGAAAATTGGACATGTTTAGAACACGTAAAGTGTTTTTGTGTTTTTCTGGCAAATGCAAAAGTGAATTGAGGATGATTGTAGGCTAATTCTATCGAAATATTTCATTTATTGTTACTACAGACCTAAATGACCATATGAATCACAAAACAAATAAATATATATGCAACTGAAACGATAATAGCCCGAATACCGCAATGTCATTTATACTCCAGCCTAGTGATGATATACCTGTTGAAATGTTAAATGAAGGAGACTGCATGCTAGCGTTTGATAGTGTCCCCTTGAATGAAATAAAACAGTAACATTGGAAAAGGTATTGGACCAAATCAATTCGATTGTGCAACATCACAATATGTGAAATTTTGCAACACATATATTGTGTGCTTATTTGACCGCTTGAGGGGTCAGGCTAGAGTTATTATTCCGTACGTGGAATAAGGACACAAGGAACAGTGACCCACTTTCCCTAAACAGTAATTTAGTTAGACGCTATAAGTAATTCTAGTATCTAAATCTTCTTATCAATTAGGACGTTCGAATACGGCATATTGCTAATACATTCTGTAAATACTTCGTGTCTCATATTTGTGTTAACCCGATGGATTAACAGCTGTTATCTTGAAAACCCCATTTATCAATGTTTAAAAATACTTGGAAGCTCAACGCCATGGTTTCATATTCTTAATGTTAATGTTTACACAATCTATTTATCGTTTGTATTTGTGCATAAAATTGTTGTTGTGGGGAAATTACCTTGCTTTATTTATATTGCTGCTAATAGACTTGAAGTATTACCAAGTTGACAGAAACAATGAATATTCTGGATTTTTCTGAATGTTCAATTCTGAAACCAAAGGTGGATGAAAACACGAAACGATTAGTTGGAAATGAATTATATCATGCTTTGTCTACAGTCGGATTTACTTATCTCCAGAATACAGGTATACCAAGGTAAACATACCAAACGAAATAGAAGACAATGCTTAAAATAGCTGAGTTAAAGCACATATGACTTGATACTTCTGTAAAATTAAAATTAATATCTTTCGTGAAATATTACGCTGTTTTTAGAATGGTATAAAATCAAGAATGTTTCATTATGTAAAATGTTCAGATTTCATCACATATCTTAGAAATCGGTACGTCAAATACTTAGCTTACTTACTTTTTTTAGCCTATATTAGTAGTTGCTTACTCCGTAGATTATTTTAGTTTACCCAAATTAGGAAGTTTGGTAATACCCTTTTGGTTTATTTATTTTTTTTCATATTAAAACTATCTATTTTAATTTTCAATCTAATATTGATAAAAAATGATTACTTATATTCTAAAATGCATTTATCACAGCGAATTACTTGCCAAAGTTTTCGAAAGATCGAAGCAATTTTTTGATTCAAAACCCGAAGTTAAACAACAGTTTTCCGACGTGAAGAATTTCAAGGGATATGTTCCTTTGTATACAGAGGGGTAAATAGTTTTCCATGAATAATTTTATGGTATCGTTTTCTTTGCCTAAAGATTGTATAGAGACAAATATGCATTTCTGATTTGGTGTTTATTGTAGGCTATTTGGGAATTAACATATGCCTACGAGTGACAAATTGGCCTATTTTCAAGTACAATCTTCACGTATGTATTCTCAAGGTAGCTTTACTCATATTGTTCTCAATAAATTTTATAGTGACGCTTTAGTAGTCCAAATTTTAGCTGGGTTAAAAAAGAATCGGTAACAGTATTTTAAACTTTTTAAAATTCCTTATTTAATTTACAAATACCTCGTAACTTTTGATTATATACACCAAATATTTTAGGTATGAGCCATAAAAGGCCTACATTGTCGTCTGTTTTATTTTTGTGTTGAATTAGCTAAAAAACTGCTTTTCTTATTATTTGAAGAACTAATGTGAAAAGATCAAAAGACATTAAAGAAGCCTATAATTTCAACATGATTAACGATGAAAATAAACACAAATTGTGTCCAATGAATGATGTGCCAGAATTTTATGATTCAATGAAACAATTTTCCGAGATTACCAAAAAACTGGCAGTTCGAATATTAGAAGTTTTAAGCGAAGGAATGAAAATTAAGGTAAACTGACTTGGTATTTTATTCAAATATTGGTTCAATATAAAACTAATTACTTAGGAAAGGAATGAAGTACTTTAAAAATACAATGGTGGAAGTTTAGAAAAACTCAATTATTGCACCAATTCGTAAAGCTGTCTGGGACAACCGGATAAGAGAAGTAGCTCATCGATCACTCAACTGAACTGAAGTTCTTGAATAATCTATTTTCTGTAATTGGCGAGTGGGACAAGGTCCATTCACTTTGCAGTATTGCAGGCCGTCTTCAATAAAATTGGAATCGAAAAGAATGTTAATAATAACCATTGTCAATCAGTGAAATCCTAAACTGGAAGTATGCAACTTTTCGAGACTAATATTCTTGTTTCAGGATAAATCATATTTGATCCGATGTCATTCTCGAATGAGCGGCAAAAACAACTTTACAACGTTAAGATCTTTGTATTATCCACCAATTCTAAACGATTCAACAGTAAAACCGAATCAAATTCGACTTGGTGAACATACCGATTTCGGCTCATTTACATTGTTGTTTCAGGATCAGATGGGAGGATTAGAGGTAGTTGGTTTATTTGCCTTATTGATTTGATTCATTAGTTGTGTGAATTAAAAGTAAATATAGTCATAATTACGCTGTATTTTACCCGAACACCTGTTTTCCTTTATTTTTTGAAAAATTGTGATAATCAAGTCACACTCATAAAATAATATGTTTCATAGTTCAAGTTTTTTTACGATTTAGATTGTAAACATCTGAAAGAATATTAATCTGGAGACCAAAAATAAACAGCAGTAAAATTGCATATTCAAAAATTAATCAGTTATTGTGCAAATGCAAGCCTTTAAACCTGGAGCATTAAATATTAACTCAATTCATCAGCATGACATTACTATTTTCATTTATTTTCGAACCGTTTACGCTACCGGTAGATCGTTTATCTTGTGCAGATCAGTGAGGGTTGACCACGGATCGACCTCCAAAACCTTGCCTGTGTCAACTGTGTCGAATCAGGTCAATAACAATCTCATTACATAAGGATTTATTATTTTAGGTCAAAAATCAGGAAGGAAAATTTATTGAAGCGAAACCTATTTCTGGAACCGTCATTGTAAACATTGGTGATATATTGCAGTTATGGTCAAGTAGAAGATTAAAGTCAACGGTATGCTTTCAAAAAAATTAGGCCGATTTTTTTACCAAAATCCATGAAGTAAAAGTAGTGACCGTTTTAATCAATATGAGAGGTGATAATCACCAGAAAAACGTTAATCAAAAATCTACGTCTATATGATGTTACAAATTACATCTGAAATATGTTTGCATCTATATTTTCAAATGATGTTCTATTCTGTGACAAGACTAGAGTTGGTTCTTTTTTATTATCTTTTTCGTTGTACTTGTCCCGAAAGGCATCTCTTTCCACGTGACCCTATCTTAGAATGTTGTTTTCTCCCTGTCTAACAGTCGCCCTGGTCGGACGCGTTTCGTTGTATTTCATCTGCTTCGGTGCGTGCACTTCTGTTCGGAAATGAAATTATTACGTGCGTCATCACTCAGTCTATCGAACGTATTACTTTGCAGCACATGGAATCATCTGAGCGTTTACACTGCAACCTCTACAAATCTGGGGAGCGTGCTGGTTTACGGACTCCTCGAACGCACTTATTCCCGAAATCGAACTGCTGTAGTAGTCTTGTTGATTTAATCGTCGCAGTTATAATTACATTTATCATTAGAAAAATAATTCTGTATTGATATTAACCGCTGTAAATTTTCACAGGAACATCGTATCATGATTCCAAGTGATGAATCCAAACGGAGAACCCATCGTCAGTCCATCGTATACTTTGTTCATCCGGATTTCGAAACCAAACTCAGACCAATCGAGTACGAATCAGAGTCGGCATCTGCTGATCGACCTAAGTTTGTTGATGACGAAAATATCGTGACAGCGCATGAATATGTAACTAATCTACTCGAATCGCGTTGGGATTAGAATATGGCCTTGTGGAATGTCGTACAATGAATTGCCTACTAAAACTAATGCCGATTTAAAACGCTGCCTCTAAAGTATTTTACTATTGTTTTAAATTTTTCAAAATGTGCACCAATCACCTGAATAAATATTTTAAAATGAAAAATGAATACAAAATCTTCCAGATGTACAAACATGTACAACAACCTTCAGTTAACATCTGGTACAATTATTTTAGTATTTGGCCGGAATGTCGGTGACATTGTGGTGTTTAAGCAATGTTCCTCTGTTTTACTGTGCCTAGTTATTTTTTTTTTTCATATAGACATTGGGGTCTGTAGTACTGTGGTAATAAACGATTTAAATAAGTCAATGGAATTGTCATACAATCAATTTAAATCACCTTTGAATTTGCCGCAAAAACCTTTTACTCAGCAACACCTTCTAAATTCTAAAAATAACCGTTTTTTCAGTAACTATTTGATACGCTTGCAACTACGACTGATACAAGAACGTTCAACTGGTATTCAACACCAGCTAACGACAGCGCATTCCAGACTAATTCTGTTTGTTTCATAACTGCATTTGCCCTCGAGTCACAAAGGTATATTAAACGCAAGTCCACACTATTACAACTCTTCAAGTCACTATTTTGCTCACCACTACTGCACATTTTTGGGTACTCATGTCCTATCTCTAACTTGGTACACATACTACGTTCCTGTGTCCGCCACTTGGTTCACATACTACGGCAGCACCCATTTTTGACCTAATCTACGGTTTACGAGTTAATGAGCGTAGACTACATTTCTAACAACTAACAGCACTTACACAAAGGCAATGAGCAAGCGCTGTAGTGTTGTACATGATATCACAATCAACCATATTTCAATATCAATGTAGTATGTACAACTTTACGAGTGCTAACGTAAACCAAGTTAAAAGATTTTGTTTATTTCGTGCACCCTTCCGCAGCTGCCTGCCCGCAGTTTTCATAATGATCCACAAACTACTAACTAAATTAATACATGACTATATTCGCCAAAAACTTTGATTGAGATTATGGAAGAGACAAATTAATGAATATATGTAACCTAAATTTGTGAAGAAATAAATCTTAGAACCCTTGCTTTGATTATCTTTTAGCCAGAAATAAGTTTGCGTTTTATTCGACTAATAAAAACGTTTTACTTTTATTCACTCGGTTTGTTATATTAAGCAAGAAATTTTAAGTTTTAACATATATAGTGGACGTGACATTGCATTAATACGAAACTCAGCTATATATTCTAGACTTATTACGAGAAACTCGAATAATGTGAATGAATAGCATTATATGACAAGACTAAATAGAAAGTAATATACTGACACTAAAAATGTATACAGATTTTTTACAGCTTTTTATAATTTTGGTATTATTCCACGTTGCGCAGGTATGATACTTTTGACACTCATAAAAAACACATATCAGGCAAAATTCTTACAAATCAATATAGCACATGTTTATTTGATTGTACGATAGATGACAAGAACTATATTATTTTACACTATTTAAAAATTATCACGCTATTTAGTCTCTGAGTTTCCTGATCTTCATTTCAACAAATTTCGCAAATGGAGTGTATACATTTTTCCACTTATACCAGGATAAACCCTTGGTCGATGTCGTATCTGCGTATAAACCATTCAAGTTAGCGTGATGGCACCTGTTATACCACCACCCTCCTTTGTACGAGACAGCACAAACTGCTGATTCGTGTTTATCGTTTTCTCGATCCTTCGTCGAAAACTGGCTATTGTTATGGATCGCCATTGAATCGCCTGTTCATAGAAACAACATAATAAATTCAATGCCTCGAGTATAAGTGCAGTGCGATACATGTTGCTTTATTGAATTATATCGTTATGAGAGATGGACTAAAACAAGTATATATACATTTAAATTCAAGTTTTCAAACATACACATACTATATAAATTGAAAAACAGTTTTATTGTCTATTGTTATTCATCATAATTATTTTGAGCATACCAGCATTTCCTGAATATCCGGTAATGGTTATTCGATAATTGTCTCCTGCTCCAGCGATTTGAAATTGTCTAAAAATTAGAATACATATGTATTTAAAATATATAAAGAGTATTTTTATTCCGGTAATATTGCTTAAAATGAGTTTACTCGAAGTATATTTGCAAGAAACGGTGATGATCAATGAACTAAAATCTGGAGAAATCACTGAAAGTACATTGCAGCCTGAAATCTCAATTTACAGTATATGTAAAACTATTGGCATACCTGAAATGGTGGTTTAATCAATAATTGATCGTTTCGTATGCCTTTTTGCGCTCTTTCAATTTATCAAACACTGAATAAAGTATACAAAATATTTGGCAGTGCGTAAAGAAAACTTCAATTACCCGTATTTTGCGAACAATTTTTCGTTGTCTCTTGTGATAAAGTCAAATCGAATCTCATGAGGACCATTGGTGGATATTCTATGCATCGTCTCCAGTCCTGTAAAATATGAATATAGCGATCGTTAGTGTTTAGCCCAAATTTCTGAACTGAAGCTTTAAAAGACGGATCATTTTATTCAGACTCGGGCAAGATTGTAACGCTTGAGAACGGAGCGGAGTCGAGTCACTTCATTCCCGAGTCACAAGTCAAGTTGAGTCGCGTCTTCTTCGCATCACTTTCTTTGTCCCCATGAAGCCGGATTCAGAGTAGATTTTGTAACAAAGAGTGAAGTATATAACATCCTTTTCAGGTCAATCTAATTCAAAATTCAAAAATTCAGTCGCGTTTAGCACGAAAAAATATTTGTGCTAGGGCACTGTGCCAGTAGTCTATAAAAAGGAGACTTGAGAAAATGCAGTCAATCAACGTACACATATTTCGAGAAATCGGATCGTTTAGAATCTGGTATATTTTAATTCTGATCATTATATATATACATTCTAGTCGGATTATTGAATCTTTATTACCATAACTTTCGAAACAATACAAAAAGAATATGTTGCCTTGTCATCATCGGCGCTAACATGTGCGGAAAAAATGTGACAAAAAATATAAAAATGCCTTTATGATTTGAACAAATTACTGATTAGATTTCATATCTAAGAATTCAAATTGTTCGTAATTTAAAGTATACCTAGCCAGACTTCTCGTTCCTTGTAACCGAAACCTGAGACATAGTCATTCCAGTCACGGTAAAAATCTTCATTTCCGTCAAGTCGTCTTTGTATTACCTAAATAAATTAAACCTGTTTTGTAATATATATTCGAAATTTCAGGGACAACTATTCTACTCAGATGTTTGAAATCATTTCTTTTTTGTCATATATATAACGAATATTTTACCGAGGCGGGAGCCGCATCGGTCTAAATGCCGGATATTTATGTGCGAGAGGATTTGAAAATTCCTCACCGCCGTAGAGTGCTTCACTGCTGGTCGGCTCCGCCTACCTTCACCATTAGGTTCAACAAAATAACTTGTATCCGGACGAGGGGCCGTATGCTTGTTCACCGGTATGAAAATGCCATTTTTTGTGGAATGATTTCATTTTTCACTCATTAAACTAACTAGATTATTTATTTTGGAATAAATTTAACACATTGCAAGTCAGTGACAATCATATTAGACGAAGGAGTTTAGGAATACAGCTACATAGTCTACAATACGGCCATCTCGGTCGGAACGTATTTGTCGTCTTCGAAGCTTATCAGATTGAAGGGCGTCATTTACATCAATGTAAATGTAAATGACCCCTTTAACTATACCTCCAGCCTCTCTCCTTAGAAAGGGATAAATTCTATTGCGCGGCAATTAAAAATGAGATGGTGACTTAAAGTGGTAAATTGCCCTCTGCACGGCAATCGTATTGAACACGTGTATCAAGGAACAAACTAAATGAAATTACTTACAGAATAAATGTCACATTGACTTTGATATTCCAGTGTTTCATCTAAGCCAGGTTACATGGAATTGAGATATTTATTATAGATGAAAAGTGGGTTCGTTATGATTTCTGTTTGGGCCTCGTGCTGCCGGTTTACAAATTGTTAAACATAGACAAAAAAATTCCGAAGACACTACTCACAATCCAACCGCCTTCATCGGTTTCTTGATCACAATACACTTGGACTCCTTGTTTACTTTCATTGAACGGATGAATCACGTAAGTTCCACTTGATATCACGTGATTCTTTACGGCTGCACAGTCCCGTGGAAACATCCGTTCTAGAAAAAAGTTTCACTGTCGCTTATATTGAGTTTCATTCCATGCTGTACTGTTGCAATGCGAGTTTGCTACTTGTAATTTTTTGTCCAAACAATGCGCTTTGCCGGACTAATAATTAGTAAGAGACCATATCAAGTAAATTCAGACACGATGGTTTGGAAAATTATCTTCACCTGTTATCGAATTATGTTACGAGCCTAAATATACCTTCCAAATCGAGCATCTTGGTTCGAATCTTTTCAAAATTTTCAAAAAGTTATATTGGTATTTCGCTATTTCTTGTGTAAATAACAGTTATACTATAGCATCAGGTCCCAGTTTTAACCACATTTCAGTTAAAATTACGAAAACAAATTTTTCCCAAAACTCTAAACAAATACTTTCGTATGAATCAAATTACAGCTTTAGCTTAAGGGACATGTTTCGTCCAGTCATTATCAAATCAAAATTTATTTAAACACTAATTGAAATAATTATATGTAAGTTTCCATCCCTACCACTCGATATCTTTCAATGATAAGCTAGTCTTGAAAAAGTTTGCGACTGTATTCTGTGTATTCTTGAAATCAACGAATAAAAGTAAATAGAGATTTTTTGACGTAATTTCATTCACGTGGGCGTTGACGCTGAAGGATGAACAGGTGGCTTGCAAGTCTGAGACAGTCTACGAATTAGCAATATCTGGTGACATCCCATTCATTTACTATATATTTGCTATAATACAAGCAACAAGTACAATTTCAATGGGAGTTAGCAGCTTGCTATTTGTGGTCCCAATAAATCCCTATACAAAACTGATATTAAGAAACTATAACAAGGAAATCAAGACACGAGGCTTTCCAATGCTTGCATTGTAACATTATGTTTACTTACCATTTAACTCCTGAACTTGACGTTCAAGCTGTTCGTTTCGTTCAACTAGATCTTCGCAGCAACTACTTGGTGACCCTTTCGGACCCACTAATCCGCGATTTCCTACTGGACCGCGCTTTCCCGGCGGGCCAGGTGGACCTCTTACGCGTGAAGGGAGATGGTTTTCGTTCTCATCACATGAAAGCTGACAAGTTCCGAGACTAATACTTGCTTGAGACTTACAAGCGAGGTATAGTAAAATAATTGTTGTCGCCAAGTCGCCCGTCCACATCATGTCCGTCTGTTGAAATTCACAGGAATGAAATACCAAACGTCACAGAATACTGTTATATATATGACGCACTGATAGATAAGTTTTAGTAAGCAACTGTTGTTCATCGACTGCTATTTTAATCTATCAAATGGGTCAAAATTTATCAAAGACGTTTCGTTACCAAGTACCAGCTAAAGATAGATCTCCTCCCATAAAACCTTAAACCAATGCCAATTTCTTTTCGATCACAGTTATCAAGATCAGACAGTTTTCTTTTTCGTGTTTTGGTAATTAAGATACGCTTACAAACTCAAATCTCTATAGAATATTAATGTTGAGTGACAAAAGTATGTTTTTGTACTGAAATAGCATTGTAACATTTTCATGGCTGATTAATCTGCTATTGAATAGGTGTGTCTGAGAATAATCTCCAAATATACACCAACAACAACAAACTACTGCCGGTCGGTATATCTAACATTATAAGGGTATATTTCAAGGAATAATTGAAAAATATAAAAATGAATGGGAATCGGCGGCTGTATTTTATAAAGAAAAAATAAACAAGTAACTGAAATAAAAATTGCAGAATGCGACGGGTGGTATCTGTTTACCTACTGAACAAAATGTCCTAAGCTTAAATTTTCTTCCCGCGAACTTCAATTATGTAGATTTTACTACCTCATAGCTGTTTTCATGGTCGTATTGACGCAAACTGCTACGCGTCAATCGGTATTTACTAACGCGCAATCTCACACTATTAATTATAGCGTCAGTAGCTCAAGTCATTTTGGTGGTTTTCCGTAGCTTTTCTCGAGGATCATTCTCTTTAATTTCTGAGTGAGTTCTTGTGACCTTGCTTTGATTAAGTATTTTCAAGAATAATCTATCCTTGGGCGAAAGTGGGAACTCTCTAGTCTACCTAGTCTACCACTTATTAATTTTAGTGTAATTATTAATTGTAACCGCTAAGACGTATTTGGGCAGGATTCTCCTGTCGTGGAAAGCACTACTCAGCCTGTATGCATCGAATTCTTGGCCTAGCAAACTTCAAACTTCGGGATTCACCGCATTGAGTATGGGGATGAGCTATGGTTTACAAACTTTTCACATCGCTGACGTTTTGCTCCATGTGCGATTTACAATCACTAGGTGGCAATAGACAGTTTGAGTTATGACTCTGCTTTCTGTCGCCTTGGTAGTTTAAAAATAAGAATGTACAAATACACAAATATTTATAGATTTATTTACGAATATTTATTATTCTGTGTAGCAACATATATCGGTAACCCGTGGCATCGATATAACCCTAACCCTGTAACACCCAAACCCTTAGTATGCCCAAATATACAGTAAATCCCTGTATGCGTAATTTTTTATTGTTTTCAAACGACTCCCGAGACGGAATCAATATATAAATGTATCTAAAATTCCCTTGTGGTAGGCATAACTTCCGTCCGTGATGATGGTTCGTCTTTGCGTCAGTTTTTGCTTTTCTTTGACTTCCGTTTGCAAAGTTCAAATGTTTTTTTTCTTTTAAAGACGTCCTATGTTCATAATTAGATGCTGTGAGCGTTTTTAATGATTCAAAATGTTTTCTCCTATAGGCATGTTTTTAGATTTCTAGATTTTGTTTAAAAAGTAGCTGAACAAGGGCCTTGGAATATAAATTTATAGCTAAGTTCCACAAGTAAAGGTATTATTTATTCTCTGTCTTTAATATCAATAGTAACAGTAATATTGCAATAATATTGGGTCCGCTAAAAACAAAAAAGTCTAATTAATAATAAAAGTGGAGCAGGTGAACAATAGCGAGCAAAAAACAAAATTGATTGATTGCATTTAGCAAGGTCGGAAATGCACATTAACCTTTTTCGTAAAAAATGGAAATTTATGTGGTGCTTATAGCTTTAATTTCAGTAATAGTTCAGTTCATATGATACAATATTGATGATTATATACATAAAATTTACGTTTTTCACTACAATAACGATAGTACAAATCCGTTCAATTTATAATGACGCGAAAGCTGAACCAAAAATAAAATTTTTTTATATTTTACAGAGATATGAATTATGTGTGTACAACAATTTTTTGTAAAAAGCTTCATTCATTCAAATATGTCTTTATTATAATTGTCAATAATTATGTACTTGAATATATAATTTCCGGCACATGTACAAAAAATTTATTCTAGGAAAGCCATAAATTTACAGTTGAGAGTGTCACTTTGTTATGCTATCGCACCGGCGCAAATTAAAAATGTGTCCCAATATGGAGGTAGCTTATTTTGTTCACCTAATTTACATCAAGTTGCGGGCAGGGGTACACACACTACCGGAGAACTGTCGCATCTGCTTAAAACGGATCTCAATCGGTGCCATTTCAGTATGCGTTAAACCTCATAAATACATTCTCATAGAATGCAGTTCCTAACCCTCTGTCATCGCTGAGTTAACAATATCTTGCTTACTTTGCTGTCGAAGTTATCCAAACTAAATGAGCGCGCAAAATGGTGTTGGAGGAGGCGTAAGAATTTATGTCTTGCTACAAATACATAAAAATTACGTTACAAATGCTGAAATATTGTGGAGGGGGGGGGTTTATCACCCCCTACCACCTGGCAACGCATATATATTCAACATTGATGTGAATCTCATCTATTTGTCCTCTATTATGAAAAAAAAAGAAATATGTGATGGAATGTGATGTATTTGAGGTGAGAAGACTCGAAACAATGCAATTTTAATATAATGGCAATGAAAATGCATGCAGATTATTACGGCTAGTACTATTAGTCTAATATTATTTCACGATAGGCAAACATGATAATCTTGACACACATAAAAACATGTATCAGGCAAAACTTGAAATTTCAATAGACTAATAGATAAAGTATTTATTTGACTGTAGGCTACAATACAGGGGTGGCCATAGAGTCGCGCACCAGGGTCAAACTCACCATTGACATCGAAACGTGTATTAGGCGACTCATTCTAATTTTATATTGTTATCATGATGAATCAGAGAAGACTGTGTCTCGGGATCGAATATTTTTAAAGTTTTTGTATCTTTGAGATTTACCTTGATGTGCGATTCTATGACCACCCTATACGTAGATGTTATAAACTATTTTACTTCTAAACTATTAAAAATCAGGCACGGCTGATTTCCTGATCTTAATTTCCACAAATTTGGCAAATGGAGTGTATGTATTTTTCCACTTAAACCAGGATAAACCCTCGGTCGATGTGCCTGTGTATAAACCATTCAAGTTAGCGTGGTGACAATAGTTGTACCACCAACCCCCTATGTACGATTCAGCGCAATTTTTCCCTGGATCCTGGTCGTTTTCTTGATCCTTCGTCGAAAATTGGTTATTGTTATGGTGAGCCATCGAATCGCCTGTTAATATAAACAACATGGTATATTTAATGACTCAAGGATAAGTGCAGTGAGATACATGTTGCTCGAATAAATCGCTATAAGAGATGAAGATTGAGGCAACTAAAATTTTGCTATATAAATCGAGAAAAAGCATTATTGTCAATTGTTGATTATAAAAATTATTTTGAGCCTACCTGCATTTCCTGAATATCCGGTAATTGTTATTCGATAATTGTCTTCTGCTTCAGCAATTTGAAAATGTCTGAAAATTAGAATATTATTTGCTATTTATATATATATATATAGGATTTTTCAGGTTATTTTAGGATGAGTCTATTTGAAAATTTGTCGTGAACGATAACGATCAACAAACGAAAATGTGGAGAAATTTCTGAAACATCAAATGCTACAACAAATTACTTTGGTACTTTAATGTCTAGAATCCATAAATACAGGGCGACCAAGAAGTCTTCAAATTTTTCAAAATTGCAAAGGGAATTTATCGATGTCATGTATTGTTTCGGCCCTCACATATGTATTAAATGAGGTAAAAATACCCAAACAATTACTGATTAAAATGCAACAAACCTGGTTTAAATATCTTGAGAACTGACTTCAAATAATTTAAGTTGTAAAGGGACTTTAGTCACACCCTATTTATTCACACATAATACTATTCGCAAACTTAAAATGGTAGTTCACTGATTATTCGACCGTTTTGTAAGCCTTTTTACGCTCTTTCATTTTATCAAACACTAACTAAAGTATACAAAATATTTGGCAGTGCGTAGAGAAAACTTCAATTACCCGTATTTTGCAAATAATTTTACGTTGTCTCTTGTTACAAAGTCGAATCGAATTTCATGAAGACCATCGGTGGATATTCTATGCATCGTTTCCAGTCCTGAGAAATATAAAGATATCAATAGTTAGTGTTTGGCCAACGTTTCTGAATCCTTGAATCATGTTTTTCCAACATTGAGTCAATTCTAGTCAATATTTTACGTCAGAGACAAAGTTAGGTGAGCCAGTTAGCTATTGGTTATCCCACATTTCTGAACTTGAATCTCGGACCACGGAAGTTTTAAACGCTCGAGAACGGTATCGAATCGAGTCACTGCATTCCCGAGTCACAAGCCAGGGTCATAATTTGAAGAATAAATTTGTTTGGAATCCGGTATATTTCGATGGTCTTTTGGGTGGACCAGAAGTTGAATGACAGTTTTGAAACTAATAATAATAAAGTAATTTAACATCGATGTTAATCTACTTCTGGTCCACCCTATATATATATAATAGTCGGATAAACGAATCCGTATTAAAAGAAAATTCGAGACAAAACGAGAAATAACATATTGCCTTGACATCCGCGACGCCATCCTCAGTATGACATTATATAACTTTCATTATATTTTAAAAAACCAAGGAAAAATTATGTTCATGATATTAAGTATACCTAGCCAGAATTCTCGTTCTATGTGACCAAAACCTGTGACATAGTCATTCCAGTCACGATAAAAATCTTCCGATCCGTCAAGTCTTCTTTGTATTACCTAAAAATGAAAGTGACAGGTTAATTAAAAATTAGTTGCGATCTTCAAATTTTAGGGACAACTATTCTACTCAGATGTTTGTAATCTTTCCGTTTATGTCATAAAACGATCATATGCAATAATATATTATATGTTTAATTTTTATGCGCGGATTGTGACGCATTGGTCTGAAATCTACGGCTAGGTGTTAAGACGACGCTCTCTATCGCACCTCTGATTACACTGCGTGGGTTCGCAGGTTTGAATCCTGTGGATGATTATAG